ACTCGTTATGAGATTCATGGCCTACATGTGTTCGCTCCACGGCCTTGTAAATAGGAAATGTGGGCGGGGTACAGTGTGGCATAGTTACAGTGGGGCATGGTGGCACGGCCTGGTATGTACTTTACGTGCCGGGTAGCCCTGTGGGCGTAGCTGGGCAGGACCTTAGATCCCATGTAGTTGTAGTTGCGGCTGTAGTTGTGCAGCCGCCAGCGACAGAGGCGGTGTGAGGTGTCCTTGAAGCCACTTTCTTATACATATAATGGGTTCTGTTCGCTTTTTTTACCCCCCATCTTGCTGGCTGGCTGGCTGGCTGGACGGGCTTTTTCATTTTCGTAGTCGCTGCCAGGGCCACCCAAAGATAAAATTTTCAACCAGGAAGTTGGCTTCCTGTGGCGCTCTGGTTGTGATTCTGGTTCTGGGTTCTGAGTTCTGGGTTCTGGCCCTGGCCGGTCCGCAATTTCTTTCATATTTTGTTTTGGCCATTACATTGGCTACTTTTGTCGGTCATGGTGCATGGGGGCTTGTATAAGCCCGGGCCCGTGTTTTTATATGATGGCTATGGTTGGCTATTTTCATTTTCATTTTATTTTTCTTTTGATTTTGATTCCATTCATGGCGGCATTCGGCTGTGATTTAATTTCAGAAATGTGACTAAAATGTGGGAGTGAAAATTACGGAATAAAATAAAAGAAGGGCAATTCAATTTGGAAACACCCGCTTTAAAGCTATTAAAGCTATGTTCAGCTGGGACTGCCTTTGATGATGGCCTGCCAAGGGCAAGCAATTTGTCTTCCAGGGGAGTTGGGGGCCTGGACCATTCGAAAGTCTCTGCTTTACACGGTGGATAACTTCCCACATGTAGCCGCTATAGGGGATATGGAATTACAAGCTCAAGGACCCAGAAGAGGCCACAATCGACCATTTCTCTGCCGCCCTCCAATGTTGCGTGCCATCCCGAGCTATTTGAATTTCACGCGCGCATACGCTGGCAGGGATAAACTGGATTTATATCCGCTAATGCTTGTGATTTGTTCTATAAAATTACTTTATGCCTCGAACATGCCGGCGGACCTTGTCTGCCTTTTATTTCGGCCTTTTGTTTCTCCACCGAGCCTTTTTGCCGAGCCAAAAAGGACGAAGGACACCGAATAAAGCCAGTGCTTACAGTTTTCTGAACGAACGCCTCGGCAGCATAACGACTTATGGCCTTATCCCTTATCCTTTTCGTAGTCCTAGTCCTCGCCAGAGTGGGTAAATGCCGGCTGTTTGCCGTTTTATTGTTTGGCTTATGTCGGCGATAGTGTGAGTGTGTTTTGGCCAGCAAAATGTTAGCTTTGTGCGGTCAACTTTAAAAACACTGTGGACTTTTCCTGCCAGTCACGACCGACTGCGTTGGCCGACTTCGTTTGTGTGTGCTCTCAATCAAGCATGCATTTAAATTGGATCGCCACGTGGCCACAAATCAATTAGAAAATGGCAAGTGCACTGCGATAAGTCAGGGGACGTTGAAAATTATTGACAGTCACGCCCTGGCCTCAAATCCCCATCATCGGACCGGGGCGGACAAACAGCCGTAATGAGGACAGGAAATCAGTTTCGAAAAGTATTGGTTGTGGGACTGCTCGATGGACAGGCAGGATGTCTTGGCAGCTGCCGGTGTCTAATGAACTCCATGGAATGTGAATGCGAGTGCCCCGGGCATTGTCTGCCACTCTGCCATAATGACTCCCAGGCATCGGGACAACGGGGAGTCCAACTGACAGCTGGACGGGCCAAGACAGCTGACCCCCAGTCGATATTACGAATGTCTTTGGAGCGGGCTACCCTCCGAGCAAAAAAAAATCAGCAATAAGGGATTTGAAATCAACAGGAAATCCAGCTTGAAATTAAGGGTTAGCTTAAAAGAGAAGTTCTAAATAATTTAGGAAGCCAAATTCTTCGGAAATGTTTGGTTTTATAGATTTTCAAAAGGGTGGTTATTCAGATTATAAGGTTGTGATTTCTTCCCCTAGGAAAACGAAAATTTGGGAGGAACATATGGTTATTATTTATTTATTGGCCTAATATTTTATTAAGCATTCAGCATACAGAAAAAAACCGCTTGAACTTAAAGAGAAAAGTTCACACTATATCATTCATTTAAAAGACTTCACCTTTTTTTTGAAATAGTTCGTGTTAAAAAGTTTGAGAGTTTTTGAATATTTTTATGTTTTCAGTTTTTTTTTGTCAATAAGCATCAATCAAAATGATTAATTATTCACGACGACTACCATACTACCATTTTATCATCACATTAATTGAAGCACACAAGCCCCATTTAAGAATATTTTTATTTCCGGGCACATATTCAATTTAATAGCTCCCGCGCAAATATTGATGTGGCAATCAGTGGAAACGTGCCCGATATGTATCGCTTTTGTTGCCTCGTTTTATTGTTTGACTTTATTTTAATTAGCGGAAACAGTTGACCGCCGACCAGGGGGGACTATTTAATTATTGCGGCCTGTCCAGGGGAACCATGGTCAATCAATCATCTGTCCAGTTGGGGCTCTTAAATAATCCAGCGGCAAACAATTATTGACTTTAATAGTTGGCCATTAATCATGGCCAGGGCCGCACTATCCGAATGAATCGGAAAGTGCTCAAACTCCTTGGTAGTGGTCAGTGGTCCTGTGGTCAGCAGTTTAAGTTGAGTTCATATCCTGGAGAGGAAAGTAAACATTTATTATGCTTTCGGTTTTGTGGTTTGCTGTGTGTATTTTTGAACACCTGCTCCCTTTGCAAGTTTGCCTAATCAAGGTGGGGAATGGAAATATCAAAATGAATATGGAAACCAATTAAGTGGCCGACCATGAATCTATCCACAGCACTTGAAGTTTATCTACTGGCGATTGAGTTTTGTGGCGATAAATATCAATTTCCTTCGAGCCCTAATCTAGTTGTTAAAGTCAAATTCGAAGGCAGAGCACTTTTTGGCTTGTCTTTTTCACAGAGCGTTGATTAATGTTGATTGATTGATTATTTGCGTTTTTCTGACATGATGCACGCTTTATTGTCGCTCAGCTCGTGGAAAATCATCAATTTCCGCTTGTAAAAAAGAACACAGCGCGAACAAAGAAACGCGGTTCGCTTATTTTTTAGCCCACCAACCAACCAACCATCCATCCAGTGAGTGGTGGAAATGTTAAGCCTCCTGCCAACTCGTCTCGCAGCTTGTTGCACAACCCAAAGGATCTGTGGCGCCCCTCGTTTTTTACCCCACCCGTTTTTTGTTGCCAGAGTTAGTAATGAATTTTTTTTCAGACAGTCAACGAAGCATAATTGCGGTTGCTGAGCATCTTGTCAGCGGTCGTGCAGTTCAAATTCGTTGTTCCCGCCTTGGATACAGTACATAGATATATTGGCCAGCTGCCAGGGCTGAAAAATGACGACATAAATGCCGAAAAAAAAAATTATAAAGCCCTCAGCTGCTGGAAAGTCAAGCCTCGGTGTCTGATGACTGACAGTGGCTCCTCTTTTTTTTTTTGGGGAGGCTCCGGGGCCTTTGGACTCTGGCATCATCTCCTCCTGTTGCGGCTGCGGTTTGGCTTTCGGTTTTCAGGGCCTGTTTCTGGGTCTGGGCCAGGATGTCTTGGCCAGCCGGCCGGGCCATGATTGAATTTTCGCAAATTTCGGCTCGTTAGCGTGCGGCACGAACACGTACGTCATGCTGGGGGCTACGATATACCACGATTCCACCATGTTTACGCCATGTACTGCAACAAGTTGCCAACTGTTTCGGGCCTCCAACCGCCGATCCATATATACTACGATCCATATACCCATATATACACAGCCGTACACTTGACACGCTTCATTTCATTGGGTTTTGTTCTCCTCGTTCTGCGTTATCCGATTATTTCCATATTTTTCGCGCTGTCAGACACGTTTTTTACTTACTCAGTCGTTGACATTTTGCGTGACTGACGATGGACGCGTGGTGTGAATAAATGAAAATGAAAATGGAAGCGAAATTGGCGCCATTGGATAGGGCCTCAAATGGAAAAAAACAACAAACAAAATGGGGGCAATGTGTTTGCCCTCGGCCACTTTGTGTCTTAATTATGATTGCGAGTGGCGAAAGAGCGCAGGCACATTCAAAATTAATATATCGATTTTTGAAGAAGTAATCAGCAAAGTCAATTGGGAAATTGCTAGAAAAAATATGCTGATTTTCAATGCCATTCAGTAGATTGTGACTCTTTCCTGTCTCATTTTAACATATGCAAGTTTTTTCTCATAATATTTGAAGCGCCCACAAAATCAGCCAAAAAAGGACTTCATTTAACGTGCTTGTTATTTGGCCAGGACACACACACTAAATGTCATCAACTGCCGGGCAGAGCAGACATGCCCACATTACGTATACGCAGCGGTGGTCAGCCACGTGTGTGAACTGCGGACAAATATAAATTTTCAATTTTTTTTAAAGCTCAATTCAGTGCCAGCAGCAGCACCTTGGTAACATAGTACGTGCTGGCTGGGAAAGTGTCGTTTAAATGCCACCCAAATACCCATTTCCCCCGCCCATCCTGTCCATCCCGTCCAGCCATTTCCCTCGTGTGAAAAATGGAAAATGGTGACTCCTCCATAAAAGAGGGCTGCAAATATTTGACACCCCGGCTGCAGGACGCACTTCCTCCTCCATGCAGGCGCAAGAATTTCTCATGTGCACTTGGGCAAACAAATTAAGATTTATTGAGCCGGGTCGAAGGACGATGTCCCGTAATCTGCCAGTTCACTGGAGTATCTTTCACCCAAGGGGCAGCCGCAGTTTCGAAATTTCCCTTAAATTGCCTGCATAGCTGGGTTTCTACCGATTTCTTTTCATTTGACCAAGCCTTTTAATGGTTTTTCAATTAAACCACAATTGGGCGAGCTTTTCATTCTAGAGGTTCCCATTGTTTTCCCCTTCATACCCGTACTTATATGTATTTTTATCTGTTTTTTACCCCTTTCAGCTGGACAATCGGATGTGGAGGTGCAATTAGTGGTGCCCCGGTATGTGGAACGCGGATCGAGTGCCACCTTCAAGTGCCGGCACAATGTCCAGCCGGAAATACTGTTCAAGGTAAGTGACTGGCGATTGGATTAACTCCGTGTCATGCATGCGCATATAAATTATGGAAAGCGCATTAAAAACTTTAAATTGAAAAATAAAAATTGCCCAACCATGGGTACAAGGCACAAAGAAACTTTGTTTCGCCTTGTGCCATATATATTGTGGGCAGAAAGTTTCCGGCACTGTGACAAAAAGCAACCAGGGCGATGAGACGTATTCTGCTGCCAGGATCGAGCAGGATAGAGCAGAACTTTCGTGCCACAACTTTGTGGCAGTCAAAGGCATCCCGCTTCCATTGCGAAAAAGTTGCACTCAAAGTGCCATTCCGCTCCATTGAATCCGTAGTCGCAGGGTGGGCCATAAACCTTTTACCGCTTCCGTCTCAATATCGACTCAGACCCAGACTCGCGGCAATTAATTTCACTTCAGTTTACTTAATTCCATCACGAAACATCAACAGACACGCACTTGCGTACGCCAAAATCATGGCCAAGCCTTCTTCGGGCCAACTTAAGTTTATGGCCAATGCGGACAACTTGACCTGAACGGGTGAGGGAATTTTCTGCTTTCAATTTAGTTGTGAACTTTTGCGGTGGAAGCACTATTCTCACCGATGCCGATTCAAGGTCAACATTTTGCTCGCTCTAAGTACCATAAAAAAGCGTACCAATTTTATGGCCCAAAAAGAGTAGGAGGTCAGGCCAACATTAGCCTTATATTGATTATTTTTTTGCCCTGGAAACAGGATGAATTTAGAACACAACCGAATTGACGTTTACATTAAGGTGGAGAGGGGTCTTGAGGTGGAGTGGCATATCCATTGTTATGCCGAGAGCCGCACTCGAAAACACTGAAGTACACGGAATTCCATGTCGTGTTTCCGGATCGTGACCCGCGGCAGCTTTAAGCCGCCATTGTGGTGTCTCATTTGCATGGAAATTTGGAATTCGGGGATCCGCCAAGTGTCAACCAACAAATTTAATGCGCCAAAGGGAAGTGTGTGCTTTGGGGCGGGAAACATGCACAATTAGCCAAGCGACCAGCGACCAAATAGCCAAACAGCCAAACATACCACTCAAATGTAGACATTTATTTATTTGGCCAGTCGGTCGAGTTCTGTGGGCAGTCCACGGCAATAGCTAATTAGTATAATTAACTATATAAGCGAGTGCGCTCGCCGCCATTCGCCATTCGAATTGTTGCACGAAGCGTGGCAAATTGTGTGGAAGTGGCACTAAAAAGGCAATTAAAACGCAAATGCTAACAGTGACGGACGGTTAGGCATCCTTACACATGTAGGACATAATATTCCACCAAAAAAAAAATAATTCTATATATACCCTCTGAAATAAACTAATTACGGAGTGAGTACAGTCTGCCATCGGGGCAGCTCATTAATGAGCTTTTGATTTACCACTTTTCAGCCTTTCGTGTATTATTTGTGTAAGCCTCGCGGTAGGGGAAGTCCTATATGCGGGTCCTAATAAGCCCAAATATAAACAAAACCCGAAAGTCAAAAGAATGAAAGTCAGGCGCAGGCAGACACGCCAAAGCAAACACATCATCAGCGGGAAAGGTAAATATTGGGAGGCCGAGGACCTTTGTTTTTCATTACTTTCGGATCCATTGGCCATATGCCAGCGATATGGCGATTGGCAGTTGCATGTCAAGGCGAGGGAAAATGTTTGAAACGACCACAAGTGGTTGATAAAACTCAATGCGTGTCTGGCGGTCCTAGAGAGCGCTAATGGCCGGCCATTCCAGATCCCTAACCAGAACCCGACCCACAAAGTTTGTGTTTGTATTCCCGTTTGTGTTTGCCCTCTCGTTGTGACCCCTTCAGTGGTTTGGTGGCTGAGTGCTTGTGTGGCCTTTATTGATTGACCCGCACGGCGCTAAACACACACGGACTTGAGTAATGGCAACATTTGCGGCACAAATTACGCATACGCCTCGCCTGCCGCGGACACATTCAATAAGCACATTAATATTATTAAGTTGCGTGCAATCAATGCAATTTGTCCCGAGCGTGTCAATCGAGCCATCAGCAGACGCCTGGGAGTCAGACACACGTGGAGTCACCTGAGACCATCTGACCGCGGGTTCATGGAGTGCATTGGCCAATAGTGATCCCTGATACCTTTTTGAATAGATTTTTCAAGAAACTAAATACATAAGTTCAATCAGAGAATTTTTAACAGACTGGTTTTTATTACACTACCGCGGAAATAACTAGTTTTTAAATTATGAGGTGTCTAAAAGTATGCTACAACATATTTATAAGACAATGTGTTGCATACTTTTAGACACCTTTATAAGTAATATCGATTTAAAACAGATAATTCTATCAAGCTTAACTCTTAGAAAATCCTTTTTCTGAAAGAATGTACTTCCTGAAGAATATAGGTCCCTTATAAGCAAATGAAAAATGACATATATGTATTAACATCATTTTTTAATCAGGTATTGGGCTTCAGCAATGATTAAGGACAAAGTCCTGTCGCCACAAGAAAAATAAATTACTTTTCAGCCTTAATCCGGCGCTCAAATTCCCCGCGGAAATATGATTAAAGCAAGCACATAAATGCGGGGCGTTAAAAAATATGCATAATAAATAAATGCTGGGCGTAATTAAAAATGGTCGACAAGAACCGCACATCCGGCCAGAAAAGCGTTGTCAGCCCAGCTAGTTTTAAGTTGAATGTGGAAAACTTGCGCATGAAAATTAATTTCCATTTTCATTATTCATATTTGTCGTTGTCGTAAGCCCCACGAACCACGCCCCCACCTAAAAAAACCGAGTAACAGTAGCAGTAACTTTTTGTGTCCCAGTGCAAGTTGCGTTTGTATATTTTGTTTTTAATTGCAGGGGTGACATGCGCCAACACCCCATTTATTCTGGCACTCCCCTCCAGAATCTGCCATTTCTGCCATTCCAATAAAAACGTTTTATTATTTACAGTTTACAGTTTAACGCGCTAGCAACAACATCATTCAGTTAGTGCAACTTGTTGCCAAGTTAAATTGCTCTGCCGTTGGCAGGGAATTGGAATTAAAATACGGATTGGGGTGTTTTTTTTGGCTGTACTGCTGGTTATGTAACGAATAACGAATGAAGTTGCGCAATACCATTTAAAGCATTTATTAATATATGCCGCTGCACCATCAAGTGATCCTGGGATCCTGTCAGGACTGACACATTCAATCACTGTCACAAACAGAAATCGGCAATCCGAATGGCTTTCTTTTAATATTGATAAATGTGCTCTGTTCTTTTGCAGGTGACATGGCTGAAGGTTGACAAGGGCAAGTTCTTTGAATTCATAAACGGAAGGAATCCGCCATTCCGCAACTCGACCATCGAGGGGGCCGAAATCGATGTAAGTAGACCAAGTGATGCGAGTATTGGCCACTTATTTACTCAATCATCATTACGGCTGTCAGTCCACTACAACTGCACCCTAATCGTTCTCTGATTTAGCATGTCCTGTGAACTGCAGATAATTTGTGGACATTGCCAATCAATTGATTTGCTAATGAGCTTTCTATGTACGCTGTTGCTAATTCCTTTCTTTTTTTGCACCCTTTAATCAACAGTGGGACAACTCGAATGAGCAGCAGGTGACCCTCAAGGATGTCCAGTTCGATCTATCCGGGCAGTTCTACTGCGAGGTCTCCACGGATACGCCCATTTTCACCAAGGCCAGCGCCGACGAGCTGATGAGCGTGTTCTGTGCGTAATAACACCAAACATGATAATGCCAACAGCTAGGCTAATTACACCTATATGTATCTATGCCCATTTGCAGTGCCCCAGACGGGTCCGCCCACCATAAGGTTTCGCAAAAGGACGCCCTTCGCGGTGGGCGAGAAACTGTTCGCCCTGTGCAACACCACCCGTGGTCGCCCCGCCCCCCACATCACGTGGCTAATCAATGGGAAAAAGGTGCGTATGCGTGATATTTGAGGCGGCAATTCAGCCAAATTCGATTGCGCAATTCCCCGTAATCGGAGCCAAATTGCAATGGATTATTTACTGCGGCCCGGAATTTCTGAATGTCTGAATGCCTGACTATGTGCGAAAAATGCCGACGGCAGCTGGTTAATCACTGGGATAATGCACTGGAAATGACTGCCTGGGGATGGGGATGCCCACACATCACACAGAAAGCATTAAGATTAACATCAGTTTAAGCCATTTTATAATTATGGCCTACATGGGCCGGGCCAGGGTTCGGGATGGCTTTCATTTTAATTGCAAAAGCCAACGGCCAGCTGCTGTCGGCGGCGAGAGGAAATGAAATTTAAATAAATTCATTATGGCTGGCCGGGGCCAGTCTAAAATGAAATTTATTCATAAACGCGCCCGCTGGCAATGCAACATGGGTACGGAGTGTATGTGGCCAGATGTGGGACTGGCCCTTTGGGTCCTGATCCATATTTTATTTAAGCCGGACGCGGGCACTCGGGTCCAGATGTGTGGCTCTGGAAGGGGCTGTGACATTGAAGTGACTTTTGTAATTGTTTTGCTGACCTGGCACACCACCACCATCATTCCTACCTCTGACTCATTGTCCTTCTGGGGGCTCCTTTGTGTTCCTTTTCCCATCGACAGGTGGAGGACAAGTACGTGCGCACCCACCACGCCTACTCGTTCAATGGGAAGCACCAGCGCCGCACGCAGCAGCAGCAGCAGACGCAGCTGAGTCAGCAGCAGCTGCAGCAGCAGTACTACCAGCAGCAGTACTTCAACCAGTACCACCAGCAGTACCACGTCCCCGTGGGCCAGTACATCGACCGATACGACAAGAGCCTACGCTGGCCGGCAGGAGCACGAGCGGGTAAGTGGTGGCCATTGTCTTGGCCACGGTGGAAATTCACTGGGGGAATAAGAACTACTTAAGGAAACAACATCTTGATATTTAGAAGTGGTTTTTGGTCAGACTTAGTCCTTAAATTTGAAATAACCAATGAACATATCTTTTCCGTACCAAGTGAATTTATTTATGATGAAATCACTTTAAAAATCATTTAAGGTGTCTAAAAGTATGCAGTGAATAAAGCACAGTCGTCTTTCTGAATGAATTCATTGTATTTGTGAGTTCAATATATATGGTTGCATACTTTTAGACACTACAATACATTTAAAAAGGGATGATCTCTGTAGCATCCGAATATATATAATCAAACATATATTAGCTGATTCTAACTTGTCTCAAAAATAATCCATAATGAAAGAGAATTTCAAAAAGATACAACATATTAAGGAAACTTAATGGAGTTTTTAAGATTAATAAGAAGACAATAGTTAAAGAAGGATATATGAAACCATAAGAACTATAAGCAAGGTAGTTGAAGCGAATATTTCTTGTACCTGTACATTTAGTAGAGGTTTTTAGTTAGTTTTAAAAATAGCATACTAATAATTTCAGAAATATGAGCTGGTACACTAGCATTCTACCTACCAACTTATATTTCCTACTACAAGTTTCTCCCTGTGTGTCTGCACTTGACAAGACAACAAGCTGCGAAGCACCACTGGCTAATGCGACATTTCAGAGCTGTTTGCGTTCCAAACGAGGAACTGCCAATGCGGCGTTTGCGTTAATTAGTTTGACTGCTGACCTCCCGGGCTCCTTGTTCTCTTCGACTTTCCTTTGCCATGGTCAATTCCCAATTTACAGTTTACCATTTTCCCCCTTTTCCCGGCACTGCAGATGAGTTCCCGCACTTTTTGTCGCACCACCACGAGGGGCACGGTCACCATGGCAGCCTCTACAACAATCCCTTTGGCTCCTGGCCAACTACCACGATGTGGGTGAGTTCCACGAGGTGCACCAGCGCAACTACGACAGCAACAACAAGAAGATGATGGAGATCAAGAAGCAGCAGCAGATGGAGATGAAGAAGCACAGGTGAGTGGTCGCAGGGACATTAATCAGGAGCAGCCACCCCGTGACCCGTATTTATGGGCCATACAAATTAAAAGGCTGCAACTTTCAGTTACCAGCTTAGGACGGTGGCTATAAGTAGCCAAGGGAACATACCTCTGGCGGTCGTGAAAACTTTTACCCGCCACAAACTTTTCATATTCTTATCAATTTCCCAGGTTGCGTGTGTGGCGTGTTTATTAAAGTTTCCTTATCTATGGTCTAAAAGGATTTTCCCCGGCCAAAGCCAACGGCTGTTGGCACATTGTTAGAGTTTCTTTGCCTTTTGTTGTATAACGCATAAATAAATTTTGTGGCTCCTTGTGGCTGAAAATACCCGCATGTACCCCCTAAGAAACCCACCTTGTAACCTTGCCAGCTTTTCGAAATCTTTACGTGGCGCGATTGGATGTGAAACGTAAATGAATGCAATAAATTATTTACGTTCACCTGTGATATTAAAAATCAAGCAGAGAAACTTTTCCAATATAACAACTTTTGGCCCCGTAACTTTGTAGGAGTGTGTAGGGACGTGGTTGGGTAGTTCTGTGTGTACAGTATATGATCCGGGCATCCAATAGAAAGGGGGCGTGGCCAGTCGGTGGGCGGGGGCGAGGTGTCAGCTTAATGAAAGCCACGAGTCGCTTGGCGCTTCCACGAAGTGGCTGGCTCTTTGAAGTCCGCATTGCACATACGCCACGTGGCCCGTCTTGGGGGGCAGTAAGTGCTGGGTGGTGGCGGGTCAAAGGTCGGGAGTTGGGGCAATTTGAAATAGAAATGGTCTGCGAACAAGCAAAGCACTGGAGTACCGTGTTCATGGCCTGACAGCTGGACAGCCATTGTGCACCTGAGCTCAACCCGCAACCCTTTCCCTGCAGCTGGCCAAGTGGGTTGACAGATTACGAGGCAGTCCGGAAAAAAATCTAGCTCAAATGTCACGGCCCCTGGTAATTGGCAAATGAATTTGCCATTTAAAGACGGTTACTTGCCGCTTGGCTTTCACATTAGCATAAGCCGAAAAGTTTCGAATTCAGCCTCCGTAGAATCCCGAGTTTATGGCCGTTAAAAGTTAGCGGCGCGCATGTGTGTGCGAAATAAACCCACTTGGTTAATTTGCCATAAAGTAAAAACCATAATTTACACTCGTGCCATTTCCTCGCCGGGTAATCAGCGAATGCTAATTGCATTTGCCGCGGGTAAGAAGCCAGCCCGAATGCACGAGCAGGGCGGAAAACTATTTTATAAATAATTTCCCACAATTCAGAGTGCTGTAAGTAGAAGGTGGTCCTGGCAGTCCTGCAGAGGATGTGAGGTGCTGGGGGAGGAACTAATTTCGCTGAGAGCCCAATGGCAATATGAAATAATTTATATTCAAAGCGCACGAGGCGCTAACGCTCAACATAAGCTTCACTCCTGGCAGGCAAAAACGAGATTGGAGTAGTCCTTGAGCAAGGGGAAAATGCTATCCTTTTTCAAGGCGCCGCTCACTTCAAATGAGGTTGTACAAGTTTATGTAAAAGCGTTTGTTTTAAAAGGACTTACGAAATCTCAATTTACGGATCCCAAAAGTATGCAATTAAATTTAAAATCATTTATAAGGTGTCTAAACTGAAATTTTTCTTAGCATACTTTCGACACCTAGTATGGTTTTTCCTAGATTTAAATAAATTGCTTGAGTTACTTTCAGAACTAATAAACTTAAACAAATAAAGGTAGGAAGGAACTAATAGACACCATTCATATCAAGGGTACATTTTACATAATAGATCTCCTTCACGCTCTATAAGCCCGCCCGAATACCCTTTCTACCCTGTGATAGCCGGCTAGAACCGTAAATTACATCAAATTGTAAACGATTTTTTCCACCCACTATACTTGGCTTAACCAGCCTTAACCATCCTTACAGACACCTGTAGACGGCTTCAGTTATGGGTTTATGTGGGCGTGATTTCGACCCCCCGACCATACATACTAAAACTGTGAAGCCCCTTCTGCCGTAAAACCATGTGATAAGCGTTGCATATTTATGCAGCCGCCTGGCGTAAACTGGTGGAAAGTTGAATGTTCCCGGGGTGAAAGGGGGCCCACTGAAAAGTGCACATGCAACAGCGGGAAAAACAAAGGCAGGACAAGGCCGAGCGGTGCTACAATAACCAGTAACAGGCAGCGTTTATGTGCATGCCAATGTGCATAAATTCCTTGGGTTCTCCACCGTTTATGTTTATGTTTGTGTGGGCTGCTTGGCTGGCCAGGCGTGGAATAAACTGCGCTGTTTATTAAGTTTGTGCATCGTGGGGTGGCATGCTATGCTATATGCCACGCGGGGGTGTGGCGAAAATATTCATGTTTTTTTATGCAAATGCAATGCTAATGTCACCGCCCACTGCCCCCTGCATAGCCCCCAGTGAACCCAGAACCTCCAACCCAGTGACCTTGCAAGATTTATGGGTCTCATAAAATATTGAGTGGGGTCATTCGAATGTGTTAGTATCTCAGTACCCAGTAGACTGTGACATCTGCCCTGCAAAGTAATTAACCGCTTAACGTGATTAGTGAGTAGCCTGCCGACAGTCAGACAGATAGAAAAGAAAAGTGCCACTCGAAAGCCGGAACATCAGAATGCTTTCATATGCCATGGTATATCAGGTATTGTTTGCCTTTCACGGTTTTGTTTCATTGTTTTCTCTGGGGCTCAGCTTGAAGACCCTTTAAGATTGCAACATGAAAAGAACAAAACCGAATGGCAGGCAACGAGCTACAACGGCAGACGTTGCACGGCTGAAAAGGCCATAACACGTAGCTCTGAATGAACACTTGTCGAGGGAATGGCCAACAAAGCAGGGAATCCTGCTTTGGAAAACCGAAGTTAGTTACCCTTTTTTTTAATGCATGTTTTCTTACGAACTTAAAACTTGGAAAGTGTGCAACAATTTATTTAGATGCGTTAGACCAACAAACTCATAAAAATAGTGGTATTTTCTACAAAGCATCTTTTAGATACCATTGCATATTATATTTTATAATGGTGTCTTATGCAGTAATTTATTTTAAAGCCCAAAGAACGAAAAACACATTGTAATAAGTTATCTTCTCTTTAAATGGTATACTTTTAGGTATACTTATTAAGAATACAAACCCTTAGAGATTTGCCATCCCTATAAAATTCTAAAGTCATAAATATAGAATGAATTTCTTAGGCCTAACATTTAATTTCATCAGTGCAATTAGTCCAACTTGAAATTAAAGTAGTTTACAATTAAATGAAAAATGACAAAGAGCAATGATTTTCCTGTCTTATAAAAAGCTGGTACGAGAAGGGTGTTGCGTGGTGTTCATAAGAAGGAATGCCCAGCAAGGACATGGGAACAGGAATGGGAATGGTGGGCTTTATGCAGTCAAAAAGTAGTTTACACGTTGTTGCACAATTTATGTTTGTGCAACACGTAAGGCCTTTTGTGGCAGGCCCACGCCAGAGGAGAACGGAGTCGAAACTAAATGTTGGGCAGGTCTGAAGGTCCTTGTCTGCGTCTAGTTTCAACCTGGCTTTTATTCCGGCAGTTTGCTTGCCCTTTGCACACTTCCTTTGTGCCAGAAGCCAGAAGCTCCGAACGCAACACACACACGATATATCCGAAAAGCAATCCAAAACGCCAACGAGCAGGCGGCTTAAATCGGCCACTGGAAACACCTCTTTAATAGGAGGTTTTCTTTTTTGGGTCTCCCATGTGCTCACTTGCCACTTGGCTGCAAATGGAATTGCTATTAAAACTAAATTTTTAAATTATTTTTGAGGTATGTCGGTGCAAGTGCTTGGGCCACCGCGAAGGTCTTGCGGAAAGCAGAAAACAAAGCACTTTTTGGTTTTCTAGTTTTCTAGCTTCTTGGTTTTACCTGGCTTACTAGCTGAAATTTCTTGATGGTCAACAAAGGAGTGCGCCCCCGAATGCAGCTAGTAATTTTCATTTAATTCTTAGTGTGGTTTCTTGTGCAGGAGGAAATTGCCACCGACTTGACCCTCAGAAAGGGCGGCCATTAAATGTCGCGACTGAAACCCAGAAATTGGCCCTATGTGGCGGTAATTAGCTCTGCCCACTTGCCCTGATCGCGTGTGTGGCAGTAATCCTTTTGGGCGGGTCAACGGTGGTGCCATAAACCGGGGTCAGAGGGCACACGGTCACTTCAATTTACGGCCACTCTTAAGCCCGTCCAATGCCAATGCGCTTTTAGTTTTAATTGCAGGCCAACTGCTGACCGATAGCAAACACAAGGCGCTGAAATCATGGCCTCCATTAGTCCCGACAGCAACAACCACACACGTATTGAGTATACATTAAATTAAGTTTGTATTTTATAAAGTAGCACTTAGAGGATGTGGTGGGGCAGTCTGCCTACTTAACCTTGTTGACAGGCAGGTAGGTGGAACTGGGGGCAGCAGCTGCAGGTGGGATATATCCTGCCGAAGGAGCCTCCAGCTCGGCGGCTACACTTCCGGCGGAAGCCCTGCGCTCATCAATCAGTTGCACCTGCTGCTGCTGCTGCTGATGTTGCACTTGCTGCACCTTGGTGGCAAAGTCGAGGACAGGTGGCACACCTCCATTATGAGAGGTGGAGGAGCCGCCCAGACGCTCGTACTCCTGCTGAATGGTCCTCTGGGCATTGAGGGCATCCTCCTGGGTGCGATACTTGACGAAGTGCACCTCCGGCTTGCTGGCACTCACATGGTTCAGGTTCTGCAGCTGGTTGGCCAGGCTGGAGAGGTCACCCTGCTTGGTCAGGACATAGATGGCGGTCTGCTGCTCGGCAGCCTGCTTGGCCAGGGCCAGGGCGGCGTTCTCCAGACCCTTGTTCTCGGGGGCCCTGATGAACACCACACGCAGGTTCTTCTTGAGGGACTGGGCCAGGTCACTAATGCTCCTGTTGTCTTCGAAATCCGCTTCGGGAGCGGAGTAGGTAAAGAACTCCTTGTTGAACTCCGTGTTCACGGGGGCATAGTTGGTGGAGTAGGATCCTCCAGACAGGGATCCTCCAGACAGGGACCTCCAGACAGGGATCCTCCAGACAGGGAGCCTCCAGAGATAGAGCCCCCAGAGATAGAGCCTCCCGAAATGGATCCCCCCGAAATAGAACCTCCAGACACAGAACCACCAAGACCTGCTCCATAGTTGTAGCCACCCACATCAGCGTGAGCCACAGCCAAGACAGCCAAAATCTGAGAAACAACATACCAAATTATAACCAACTGTTCAAACAAATAACACCCATTAAACTTACGATAAATCCACGCATATTGATGGCTGCTCTCCTAACCAATTTTCGATGAAATCTGTTAACCCCGGGAGGTGTAAGCTGCTAATGATGCAGCCCATCTGGCAGAGGGGCGTTTTTATAGCTCGAAGGCCCCGAGCGAGTCCAATCTAAGATGCAGATTTCCGAGTTCAGATGAGAGATGAGCGGGTGTAGCCCATGCCATTGATCCAAAATCCAAAATCAAATACAATATCCATAGCCAATACCCGTTGCAGGTGACGCAAAAGGCTGAAAAACTGTATCCGCCAGCATTAGTTTGCATAAATTCGAAAACGGTTTGCCAATTTCGGCTGCCAACGAAATGCAAAAACAAACTGGAATAGTTTGGCCTACCAAACCATCAAATTATGGCCATTTAAGTGGAGCAACGCCAGGCGATTTGCATAGCTGGTTGTATTTAATTAATTGCAAACACTACACATCTATGTGGGAGAGAAGAGAAAAACAAATCAATTACAATATCCACAGAATTCTGGGAATGATTGGCCAAATTCAAAATTAATTAATGCAGTCAATATATCATTCCGGCAATTGGCAGCCCCCGGGGGCAGTGGAGATTGGCTATGAAAGATCGTCACAAATCAGCCGCTAATCGAACGCTACTCGCCGACTGTCCACGGTATCTGGTTTATGGTCATAATTACGAGTTTCGTAAATAAGCCAGAAACAACACACAAAAAACCTATTTATGCAAATTAACCCCATGTCGCTTGTGGCATTTTTGTGTGGTTTTGGGTTTCATTTTATTGTGTTTTTTTCCCCGTTTCCATTTGCATATTATCAGGCATTTATGATGGCTTTCATTGTGGAATTTGATATGCTTGATTCATTCATCGATTGCCCAATCGAACCCAAAACCCGAGCATTTCGATGTATACTTTTCGGCCTGTCAGCAGTGTCTGTCAAACTGTTCGGCCGGTAATGAACTTAGCCCTGCGGAGCTGGCTTTGCCATCGCTTTCCATCGAAATGCAATCAAGTTAATTACGGAAATATGCATTTTTCAAGCCAAACATGAACATGCAACTCCGTGATTGACGATAAATGCCCAATTAAGCCAATTACGAGCGGTTGGCCCATGGCAGGGCAGTCAATCGCGTGCAACATGTGTGGCAGAGCCCTGGGGCAGCCAGCTACAACTACTTTTGTAATAATTTCATTTTAACTAAATTCATCAAATTGTTTTTCCTAATTGAGTGGGTTAAATGATGATACTGCTACCATAATGAACAATTTTCCGCTTGATTTGACCTCTAATTAGTTGGCCAACCCAGGTGGAAATGTTTCTTTTGGCAGGCGAACACGCATGCAATTAATATAAACAGTTCCAGGGGCACTTAATGAAGTTTTCGCATTCGCATTCGCATTTGCATAGCAATGCCAAACAACTGTCTCTGTTTGGCATTTTGGCCCTGTTTTTGCAGGTACGAAGGAATCCCAGGGTTTCCAACCATGTGGAGTGGGGACCAAAATAAGAATGGGAATGGAAAGGGGCGGCGGTGCCACTTTATAGTGCATAAATTATTCAATGAACCGCATGCCAGGACGAGTCAGCGACGACAAAAGAAGCTCTGCTGTCAGTTATAATTTCACACGCGTAACAGTTGCCGTTGTCAGTCGAGTTGAGTTGAGTTGGTGGAGGTAGAAAGGTTGCCAACGGTGCCAGTGGAGTTTCCTGTCGGCCTACACTGCAAAAACTCTTACGCTTACTTGGAAAAATATAAAAAAGTTGTTGAGAAGAAGTTTAAATATGTATATTTTAAAATTGTAACAAAAATCCAAATCATCAGATAAAATCTTCATCTAATATAAGCAAAAGAACATCCTGTTTAAAAAATCAAGAAGATATCAAGAACAAAATCTTCCATATCTGTATTTAAGTTTTTTCATTTTTCACTTTTAAATATAATTTTATTGAGTTTTATCTGTAAGAATGTTTACCTTATCAGAAATGACTGTAATAATTTGATCAATCCTAATATACGTTTAGTGCACTATATAAATAATTAACCATTTAAACTACTGTGTCTTCAGCCTTCTTGATTTTTATTCAAAGGTTATTTTTTGGCAGTGCCTACACTTCTATCATTATTTGCTTGCCATTGTGGGAACTACATAAATTTGCCTCAGTGCACAGTTTGCTGGCTAACCCAGTTTCAAACACATTTTTTCGCAGCGCTCTTTTGTGCGCGCGCGCATTTGAGCCGTAAGTTAGACACTTGTTAGGTCGACATGGACTTGGCATCGCTGCCGATGACGAAACACTTTACACCCCTGAATAGTTAATACAAATTAGCTGGCCCCGGGCAATTACTTGGCAACAAAATTTGCATGCGTTGCGCCATGTAATTTTCGGGGAACGAATCGCTGGAGCGTTCGGCCACGGGCCAGGATTTGATTTCGGCCAAGAGCCCCGTCCTCGGCATTGCAAAGTTAACCTAGCCAAAAGTTTTGCTGGTAATCTGTTAGGTTTCTTTGCCATTTGTAGTTCTTTGTTGCTGTTGCTGTTGTTGTTGCTAAGTTGCGGTTCACCCAAGTTCCGGTTTCCGATCTCAAGACCTCTTTTTGTGCATGGCGGCATAAGAAATTCATGGTTTTGCACGTAGCCCTGGCGCCCACTTAAGTTGCTTTGCTTGTTCCCAGCTAAGTGGGTTGATGGCCAGCCGAATGCTCTCGTTTGGATTGGAAATCCCGATGCTTTGGGCCCTTCAGTGTTGCCGGTTATTCAGGGGGATGGATAATATGGTTCTGGGGAGAGGGAAACCAAGAACAGCTAGATTAAAAGAGCTTAAAAGGTTTCTGATTATAACTATAAAGTTTGGCCATTCTTGAGATAGACGGATAATGAAGTGAAGTGACTTGAAAATAACTTTGAAACAAACCTATGTACTTTATACAAATTCTGAGTATATAAACACTATGAAACTTGGTATATATATTTGGTACCATTTTAATTTTATTACATAATAGAAAATGTCACGCTTTTATAATATACAGGAATCCTGAAACCTATTTCTACAAAGTTAAAGTTATAAATATCGACTAAGGAACTGCTAGATATCCTAACCAACAAAGTTATAACTAAAACTAATTGTCGGAAAGTTAGGAACCCGACAGCACAGCACTATTACCATCTCTGTTTGGACTCCTGTGTCCATCATAAATTGCTAATGGGTTTTGTTGCGTTGGCGTAGACGCCTTCAACGCGTTTGTAAACGAAATTAGGCAGCGGTTTTTGTGGCCCAGAGACACATAAATATTCCAGGGCCCAGGAACAGAACGAAACTACATGACTTATCAATTAATTAGGCACATTTCTCAAATTATCGCCTTGGGTCGGGCCCGAAGAACCCCCAAGGAGGTTTTGCATGTCAGCTATGAGTTAAGATATTCCGAAACCGAATCCTTGGTTCCCTTCGAGAAGGGAAAAGCGGAATTTAAAGTGTCATGCCAGACAGCAGTTTCATAACTTGCACACACTATTCTGAGGACAGGGATGAGAACTAGAACTTGGAACACCGGGGCCCGCATTTCCGTCTGATTTGAATTGCTCGGCAAGTTTGTTATGTTTTGAACTTGAGCTTCCTGTGTTGTCCTAGCTGTTTTGCCCTGAAAATTCCCTGCCATCTTCGTCCTTCGTTTTCGCAACCGGTGGCAGTGTTTCCTGCGAAAAGTGCGCTGCATAAGGAATTTTATTAAGACAACTGCAGGGGAAGTAGTCCAAGTAGCTTGGCAGTAACAACAGCTCCGTTGATGATGCCCCAGCTCCAACTGCCAGCTGTCATCATCCCATTGGTCCCAACCATCCAGGAAGATCTGGAGCAGGAGATGGATCCGTCGAAGGCTTATGCGGATGCTGTGCATTTGCTCTGGGTTTTGGCCCGCATTTGTTTGCTCTGCTGGCTTAACTGGCTTACTACCGATGCTCTTGGCTGTCGATGTTGTTTAAGTTTCGCCCAGGAAAGCCACTCCTGGCCAATTGTTTGTGCTAGTTTTTCGGAGAAGCATAAACCTAAAACCAAGAAAATAGGTAACATTTCCGAGATATTCATTAGACCCAAAGAGGCTACACATTTGATGGTTGCAAATCAAATTTGCAGCCATAAAGAAAATTACTTTTCAGATTTTGGTTCCGTATATAAAGCGTATTCAGAAGTTGTCTTGCAGCCCCACATTTTGCATGACATTTGCCCATTTTCCCTACAGTTGCCAAGTGCTCTAGTTGCACAGAGGAAAAGGAAGTCTGGGTTTTTAGGAGAACACACACATACCATTCTAAGGAAGATTGAAAGAGAAGCAAACACTCGCCATAGAAAAGCAACTTTTTGCTGACACCTTGCTTTATCTGTACGGGTGCCTGCGGCATCCTTCGTATCCTTCGGATCCCTCCCATCCTGCGTCTCAGCCAGTGCACTTTAAGCCAAATAATATTTAAATATAATTCTGCTAAAATTCCATGGCATTTACTTTGCAATTTGCATAAGCAGGCAGCAAGGACGAGAGCTATGCAAATGGAATAATTGCTTAAATGAGACGGAAGTGAACGCTTTTAACTCGAATTTTAAGATGCAGATTTCGATACAATGTACAATGTATATGTGGGCCATAAACCAACACAGCTGACAATCGGTTTGCCAGCATTAAACTTTATGGCCTCGACATTATTTGCAGAAGAGAATCTGCGGGTTGTGCGGGGGTATTACTGTGTGTGCTGGCAATACCAAAGGTAATTTCGCTGTCATTTTGAATTTGTAATAAAGCAACATGTCGCCGTACACGAACAAACGAACAAACCCCGGAGTAATTACAGGGGACTGAGGATCTGGAGGCCCCGAAGCCAAAGCCGCACAACCGCTTATCCACAGAGCCAGGTTCATTTGTATGCCGTTCAGGCTTCTTATCAAATATGAAGCAAAGTCGTAAAAGCTAATTAGACTCACAATGTGCGATACGGCTGAATAATGCAAACTAATCAGGCCGTAATGCAGGCGAACCATTAGAAAGCCTTGCCAATAAGCAGAGAACTCTTACTCGAAAGGCTCAATAAACTCTGAATTTTTGTGGAATTCTTGGCGAGCCTCTTTGGCAAACCTCATAGCCATTGAGTTATCAATTACTCAGGGGTTTTGGGTTTTGGGTGAAAATGAAGATAGCATTCCTTCGATATCCAAAAAGCGGTATTGTATGGGAATCAGATGTGCGTGCCCGGCATGTGGAAGCTACCCACACTCACTTTCCCAGGCTTTTATTTTGCTTTTCACGTTGGCACACATCAATCATAAAATGCAAATATTTACGATTTTATTTGTGTGCAAATTGCCGGGCGCCGGCACATTAAACCCAGTGACTCAGACTCCCCACTTTTTATGTTGCAGGAACAGCAACCGCAAGTACCGGCGCCACATAAACGAGAACGCCCTGGGCATCATCCGCAGCACTTTGAACAGCGGTGGCTTCGGTCCGCAGGCCCCTAACATGAACAAGGAGCTGGGAATTCCGTCGAACGCAGGACCCATGAACCAGCTGGCAGCGGGATACCAGCGACCCCTCTCGCATCCCGGCGGCGGAAGCGGAGTGGCTGCAGCCGCCGCGGCCGTGACAGCCGCCCAGCAGGAGAAGGGCATGTTCAGCATCAGCCAGCTGAACATCGAGCTCACCGAGGAGCACGTGGGCACCAACAGCCGCATGGAGATCACCTGCCTGTCCACCATTCCCGCCACCGTGGGCCAGGGCGAGCAGTACGCCGACTACAAGACCTACTCGGTGAAAGGTGAGTGGAAATTGTTGTGGAGGCTTACTGGGAATAATCCATTTAACTTGAGAACTACTTATAAGCCCGAAATTTATATTATATATTTTCAATACCTTAAAATAAGTAATAATATATACCCACTTTTAGTATTCCCTAGAGTTTAGTTATTAAAAATTTTGATCTGATGTAGATTCTTAATAATCTGGAAAATGCATGAATATTATATTTTGTGTAAGGATTTTAGTTTCATGGACTTTTGGATTTAAGTGGGTACTATGCTATATTTTCCGCCCCAAAATTCAGAATTTTCGCAGTTTGTTGCGAAATATGGTCAGAAATGGAATGCCATACCTCGTTGAGTTCGTAATTAAATTCCCAATCGATTGGATTCCAACCTAGAAATTTTTATTTTCGCCATTTTTGCAAAAAAACTGATACAAAAAAATAAAAAAATTCGACAAAAAATAAATTTCCCGAAAGTGATGGGGATGGAATGCCTAGGTTTCAGTTGTTCAAAACAGTCTTCTTTTTAAGTGGGACTCTTTTTGGCCAAGTTACAAACAAAATAAACACAAAAATCAATATTTTGGACGACAAGTATAATATCGCAATTTTCGAAAAAAAAGGTAGTATTTTTGTAATAACTTGGGATAAGGCAGAATGTGGAATGTTATACCCGTTGAGCTCGTAATTAAATTCCCAATGATGGCATTCCAACCTGAAATTTTTATTTTCGGCCATTTTTTGCAAAAAACCTGATTACAAAAAAATGAAAAACTCGTCAAAAAATAAATTTCCCGAAAAGTGATGGGGATCGAATGCCTAGGTTTCAGTTGTTCAAAACAGTCATTCTTTTTACAGTGGGACTCTTTTTGGCCAAGTTACAAACAAAAATGAACACAAAAATCAATATTTTGGACAACAAGTATAATATCGCAATTTTTCGAAAAAAAGGGTAGTATTTTTGTAATAACTTGGGAACAAATGGTCAGAATGTGGAATGTTATACCCCGTTGAGTTCGTAATTAAATTTCCAATCGATTGGCCTAACAACCTGAAATGTTTATTTTCGGCCATTTTTTGCAAAAAAACCTGATTACAAAAAAATGAAAAATCTCGTCAAAAAATAAATTTCCCGAAAAGTGATGGGATGAATGCCTAGGTTGTCAGTGGTTCAAACAGTCATCTTTTTACAGTGGGACTCTTTTTGACCAAGTTACAAAAAAAATCAAACACAAAAATCATATTTTGGACAACAAGTATAATATCGCAATTTTTCGAAAAAGGGTAGTATTTTTGTAATAACTTGGGAAAAATGGTCAGAATGTGAATGTTATACCCCGTTGAGTTCGTAATTAAATTTCCAATCGATTGGCCTACAACTGAAATTTTTTTTCGCCATTTTTGCAAAAAAACCGATTACAAAAAAATGAAAAACTCGTCAAAAAATAAATTTCCCGAAAAGTGATGGATGAAGCCTAGGTTGTCAGTGTTCAAAACAGTCATTCTTTTTACAGTGGACTCTTTTTGCCAAGTTACAAAAAAAATCAACACAAAAATCCATATTTTGGACAACAAGTATAATATCGCAATTCTTCGAAAAAAGGGGTAGTATTTTTGTAATAACTTGGGAACAAATGGTCAGAATGTGGAATGTTATACCCCGTTGAGTTCGAATTAAATTCCCAATCATTTGCCTGACAACCTGAAAATTTTATTTTTGGCCATTGTTTTCAAAAAAACATGATTACAAAAAAATGAAAAATCTCATCAAAAAATAAATTTCCCGAAGAGTGATGGGGATCGATTGCCTAGGTTGTCAGTTATTCAAAACAGTATTTTTTTGTAGTGGAACTATTTTTGGCCAAGTTACAGACAAAGAAAACCCAGGAAAATCTATATTTTGAGCAAAAATCGTGATGGTGATTTTTCGAAAAAAGGACTGTAGTATTTTAGATACGAAATGGGAAAAAATGATCTGAATATGGATTGCCATACCTTGTTGAACTCGTTTTAAAATTCCCTACCGATTGACATTCAAACCTAAATCATTTTATTTTTGACCATATTTCGCAAAAAATCGTGATGTAAAAAGAATACAAAAATAAGTCAAGAAAATAATTTCCCGGCGTAGTTTGTTAGCTGCTTTAAACAATCGGCCTTTTTGCTGTGGGGATTGATTTGTCCAAATTACGTTGGAAAACCCGCAAAAAAGAAATGGTATTTTTGTCTAATAAATTAGTATTGTTGCACACATGGTGACAAAAAGGGTTGAAACAAAGAATTTCATTCCTCTAAACATTTTTTATGATATCGGATGTATATTACAATTTTAATAATGTGTTTCGTAAACATTTTTTTCTCCCGAACACGGTGCCCTGTGTGATTTGCATAAATCGCAGACTACATTGTGTGTATATTTCTGCGGATATTTGCTTTATTTATTTTATGTCGTGTAATGCTATGCAAGGCAAATATTTGTTTCGGTACACACACATCCGCCTGAAATTACGAGCAGTGAGCTCATCAAAATGTCCTCCGCGCCACGAAATTATGAAATGGAAGATGGAATCACGGATGAATTTTCACAAAATAAATTAGTATGATAATGTGCAGGGGCATTGTTATTTACCGTCGGCAGTCGTTGGGAAGCCAAAAACCAACGAGGAATTTTAAACAAAAGCCAATGCTTCGGCTTGTCTCAAACTGGCAGATTAGATTTTTCGTCCTTGGATATCGGATTTGTTTGTTTGCCTAACTGGTGTCGTACGCAAAAAGGGGGCGTCATATGTTTGCCGTTTTGTCTACGTTTAATTTTCATTTACTCCACCTCTTGTTTTTGGTAACTGGCACAGGAGCAGACCAAACAAAGGTTAATTTATATATTTGCCGGCTTTGTTTGCCTACGAGCCGGTTGTTAACACTAACGTCCCAGCCAAGTCGTTGAGCCCCGTGTTGTAAATTGTCCTGAATTGTACGAAATAATTTACACATTACCAGCCCATGACTCACGATGGTCGTTGGCCACTTTCCCGCCTGGCCCGGTCTTGTCTTTCGACCTCCTTGCCCGCCGAGTGGCTGCCAACTGTCACTTGAACAAGGGGCGTATGCGTGTTATTTATGTTGCGTGAAGTGCGTCATTTGTTTGGGCCACTGCCACTTGGCCGCCGAGAATGCTTCACTCTGTAATTGTTTCTTATGCCGCCCTGAGGGGCTGCCATCATTTGCTTATGCGAAAAGTTTTCAGCAAGGACCTCTTGTTAGGACTCTTTTTGGGCCCATCATGACGACCTTTTCAGCGGTTTCGTGCCTCGTTCTCGGCGGTTAACCATTTTTGGCTAGATAACTTGCGGGACTTATCACTGTTCTGATTTATTCATTTTATGGAACAAACTTTGCCCCTCAAATTGATATACTTGCTTTATCCTTGACCTGAATGATGCTTGTTATTAATTTCATTCATTTCTTTGTTCTTTTATAAACTAACATTTATGTTATTAATTGACATTGTACATAGATTAGGATATGCTTCATCATGATTTATGGTCTTTAATGTTTTATTTTATTTTTATATTTTTACCATGTATGCTTCTTGCCATTTCCGTGTCTATCTGATAAAAGAAAGCACATCGAAATCGATTTATTTGTGTAAAGTCAGGACAATAGGTATATTTTATTTGCTTTTTCAATAAACTAAAATACCCTTGGCTTTGGTAAATGGCTCCAAAGTTTCTGTTTATCAAACCAGCAGGGTTCTTTGCCTTTCAACTAATCCCAGCATTGTTGATCGAATTCTAAACCTCTTTGTGTCCTTTTTCGGCTCCTTGCAGTTGAGGTCGAGCGCCAAGTGGCCTCCTCCACGTCGACGGCCCCGCCGAGCATCGGGATGGCGGCGCTGGGCAATGGAAATGGACACGGCAACGAGACCTCCGCAGGACGAAGGACCAACGGCCAGGTGGTGACGCACCTGTGGTCGCTGGCGCAGCTCCTGCTGCTCGTCCTGCTGCCCCTCGGCTACTAGAGGATGCATTATGCAGGAGGCAGGATGCTGGAGAGGAGAAGACCACCGACATACTCGCACAGAAGGCATAGTTAAAGCCAAGCCAAGGGCAACCACATCATCATCCCACTTCCCATCAAGGACAAAGGCAGCAAAAGCAGCAGCAGCATCATCGGAAAAAACCAAGTTGGAATTTTTGTAAATTGTACACCGCATTTTTAATCCTTTCCCAAGCATGAGGCTCAATCGAGCAGCTAAATTAGTGCAGCTCAAAAAAAAAGAAAGGGCCACAAAGACAATGGACTAAGAGAACATTTTTAGCATTCGTGCTCGCCCTGGTCGGCCAATTTAAATAGTTTACTTGTAAATAACTGCAGATGACCGAGGGTGGATTTTCCCCTACTTTTTTTGTATGGCCGCAAAGCCAAAGAGAAATGTTTGTAATTAAGTTGCAGTCGGTTGGGAAATTGTAAGAATGCTTTCAGTCCAGTCGGCCAGCGGCCATTTTTTTACAGTCCAATCCAAGGAGAATTTTGTATAGCTAATTGAACATAAGTTTTCGGGAGAGGCGACTGCAACTCTGACATCAAGGAAATTAAACCAAAGTTTTTGCGCCCTCTCAAGGTCAAGGGCGTGGTGCTCCGTGGTGCCCCACTGAGTTCCCTTCATTTTGGCCTTGTCATGGAAAAACCCAGAGAAACTCAATCCCAAATAGCCAGAATTGATTGGGGGCTAACATTTTTAGGCGTTTCAAAGCAGTCGCTACGAAGCTTGTACCTAAAATGCATGAACTTAGTGCAGTAGCAGAGAAAAACGTAAAACGAAAATCGAATAACAAAACACTCAAAGGAAACATATTTTTTACGGTATTGTAGCGCTTGGGCTAGTCAGAAATGAGGAAAGGATAGGGATGTGGCTAACTGAGGGTAGGCTAAGATTAGGGCAATTGAATTTAGGAGCCGGCAGCAGCAAGCTAAATACGAGTACCGTACCCCCCGGAAACCGAGAACCCCCCGGAAATAAAACGTTTAAATGTAAAATAATTAGACAGTTAAACCAAGAAGCTTACAGAAACAATCAGTGTTGAAAACATTTTGAGAAAACAACCAAAACAAAAGAAAAGGAAGGCGGAACCCGAAGGAAAAGGCGCCGAAAAGGGCGCAATCTGCGGCGCGTGGTGACCCCGAAAATGGGAAAGGGTCACCAGTCTCAGCCCCAGAGGGCTGGAACCATCTTAATGGGTAACCCACTCCGCTTCACTTTACGACGCTTATTTATTTATTCTCGTTTGGAACCCTTAATTTTCGGTTCGTTGTGTGTAAATGGTTATCGTTGCAATGGATCGTTTAGTGTGTAGTTAGGAAAATATTTGTTTCGGTTGAAATTTAATTTTTTGGCGGCCTAGTCGCAGTGCTTAACGGTACTTAAGTACGGATGCATTTCTTGTGTATTTAGGAGGTTTATTTCAAGCGCGCTTTAAGTGTCTATGGCTAAAGAACCATTTTAAACACGTAGCATAACAATGTAACTATGTAAAGCAAGATGATAGCAACCACGGACAACCCGGCAAAGTAAATATATGTAAAGCAATTAGTGGACTAGTCTATACTCTTTAAAAAAAACCAAAAAAATTATAAAAATGAGCGTCTGTATTGTGTGTGTAATTAGGCTTCTATTTTTGACTTCTACTCGACGGCGAAATGCAAAACCAAACATAAATTTAGTAATACAACTAAGCCTGCTGCGTTCTCCTACAGTTTGAACAAGCGAAATCAGTTAGAGCAAACGATTAACAATTAACAAACAACAATTACAACCGCAAATTGCAAATTGCAAGATCTTGCCACAGTTGTTTCAACAATTTTCCAAGGGTTGTCCTCATTGTGAGAACATAAAAGTAGTTTCTTGGCCAGTGATACGTTTCCTGGCCAATGAGTACAGCAACCGGATAATGCTTGAACGAACTACAAAATTTTTTATAAACGAAATATACTTAATTATGATAACGGTGACATCACGTATAAATAATTGAAAACAAAGTTCATATTATGTATGAAAATATGGCTAAAATGTCTTATGCAGGTATTGACGTCTTCCTATGCTACGCTGTCTATTATTAACAGAAAAACAAATTGATTACATTTATAAATTATACATTACGAATAGGTGTGCATGCAAATTTACTGATTGCATACACTAAGAACTAAATAAAAAAAGAGAAATGAAAAACAAAAGAGAACAAAATATTAACACTTATACACAACAAATGAAAATGCTTTAAATTTAGTGGATAATTTATTCCTGTTTTGATTCAAATCTGTAGTCTATATAGTTTTAGTAATGATATGATTATGGTATGCTAATTTCAGCCATTATTCGATTCCAGATAATTTGATTTAAGTGAACTTTTTCGGGAGCTATTTCCCAGTTATATGGTTATGGGTTTGTAAATCACTCGTACTAGTAAATGTTTCCCACCAATCTATGAACAAGTGCAAACACTCCCCACACATCACACTCGCCTACACATCCGCAGTTTCCCCCGAAATAAATGTCATACACTCTCCTCTTCTCTATTTGTCTGTATAAATATGCAAACTGCGTGTTGTCTACAATTCAGTCGTCTGTTGTCTCAGCATATATATATAGCATATGGCATGAATGAGCATAATTGGCCAAGGACCTGAGGTTACTTTGCCCAACAGTCGTGTCGCCAATTATGAGCCATGCACCCTCTATCGAGCATATAAATGTGTATCTATATGTAAAAACTCTATATGATGGATGGTATTTATATAGATCAAATAAGAGTACATTAAGTGTGGCAGCAATTCGCAAAACATATCATAAATGTTGTAACATTTTCGGATCCCCAAGAGTCGGAAGCCAATTAACATTTTTCATGCCTAGCATATGGTGCCCCTTAATTATAATTGTTTGTTGAGGCCTCTCCAACCAACACTTGGGTGCTCAACAATCTGGCATTCGAATTCGTGTTGGAGGAAAAACGACATTATAATGGAAATGGGAGCGCATGATATACACAAAATATGCACACAAAACACAAACATTATATTTGAATGTTGTATTTTGATAAGTCGAAAGTATTACGACAATGTCGGATTTTCAAACAAAAGATACACATTTTGTTTGGGAATCTGCTGCGCGGCTACCTTTATCATTTCACTCACATCTAAATCTTCCAATCACACATATCATTGCGTGTTGAACAAGAAAACATGAAATTATACAAGCAAAATATATATTGAAATTATGTATACAACAGACATAGGAAAAACAGATCCGTAAAAGGTGTATAAAAGATATATTTATAGAGAAACGGCATGTTTATTAGTTTTAAACACTACACCACAAAAAGCTTTAACTTTTTGTTCCCATTGTTTATCGAACATTAAAATAATCGCATGCACATACACATGGATTTGTGTGTAAAAATATTTGATATTGAATTCAGTATAATTTGAATTTCCCCTGATTTGTATTGTAAAAAATGTTTTAAGATCTAAGAAATTGTCTAGATACATAGCATTATTGAGGCTACTATTGATAAATGAATATCGGAGAAAACCCAGACAAAAATTGAACTCGATAAACGTAAATAAATAAATTTATTTATAGATACAGACATACCAAGCGAGCGATACAATTGTAAAAATTGCAACCTATGCAAGTCAAATGCAAAACAAAAATAATAAAAATGTGTGGAATATGTGTATTATTATTATACTAAGCCACGAATATTTATATGTACACTGAGCGGCAGCAGCAGAGAGTTAAGTGTAAAATTTAAAGTGTAAATTAACAAACGAAGAACAAGAACAACAATTACGATTACAACTCAACCCAAATTATGGCGCCTACTGCTTGGCCAATCTACTACACTGAAAAAAGGGATATACAGCATATTAAATATACATACAGAAATACGAATATTTGTGGTAAAGAGAACGAACTAAAAAATAAATGTTGAAAACAAAAGGCCAAAAGCGTTTCATTCAAGGAGCAGTTAAGAAGCACACGCCCCTTAAAACAGGCCAAGCAAACAAAGGACCCAAAAAACAAAATGGTAAATGTAGAAAAACACAGCAAAGTGGTAGCTACAGAAATTAGGGGGAAATGGGGGGTTATAGGCCATAAGATGGGTTTTTTTGGGGGGACTAGAGACAGGATTTTGCGGCCTCTTCGCCCACAAGTGCGTTAAACAAACTTGCGAAACTTTTCGTTTGACGAATATCCTTTTAATCCTTTTAAATGTGCAGGGAAATTGAGGGAGCACAAACAAAGGACACATAAGGTCAGAAGTCTCAACGAAATTACTAAAGGGAGGGGCCGGCGATGGGTGCAAATGGCCTGCAATAATCAACGAAAGGATAAACTACGGAGTAAATGGCGGGTCAAGGGTATCTTACGGCCCTAAAGCCCATCCGAAACCGACGAACAAAGCCCAAGACACAATGGCCGAGTATTTTTCTTTTTTTTCCAGACTTTCTCTTATCCTTTCCCTACTTTCTCCCAGGACACCACAAAGGTGCAAGCAGGCCAGGTTGCCTCATTACGAAATCAAAGCCCTGTACACATTGCATCGGAGGGGATGTGTTTGGTGTTCTGGTGACAGATGCGAGCTATCGATTCCGAATTTGTGTGTGACAGACAGACAGGACGTCAGGACATCAGGATACAGGATGGCCGGGGGGAAACGACAACATTGCATGGAAATGAGCAATTAACGCCTGGCCATCGTTAGGCCGGACCAATCTGGCTATCGGCGAATCAACAGATTTTCCGGGCGGCCATCAAAGGGGTTTTCCGACTCTGTCTTGATTAAGGTATAAATATTAAATTAGCAGGAGTTCAGATACTGTCTTTACTCTTGCCACTGCTGCTGCCTCTTCCTTTGCCTTGCTTGGGCCGCTAATGAGGCATGGAGTCAGGCAGGATGTGGTTGGTTAAGAGGCTCGTTCGCTGCTTAATTATACATGGCAGCGCCCAAAAGTCGACTAATTAATATGCGGCAGTCGAGCAGGCCGGTTAATGAGCCAAAACTCGCAGCATGTGTGCCAAGTTGGGTGTTTGTGTTGGCTGCCAGGGGAAATAAAGCCGATGCCGAGCAAATAACTCAATTTTCATAGAGTGCAGAACTCTCTCTGGCTACACCCATAAACACTTTTTTGCAACAAATCCTCAACTATTCCGCAGCAAGCCGCAGCAGCAGAAGCAGCGACAGGCGCAGTAAAACTTTCTGACAGCGACAACATGGCGTACAACTGCCAACTGCAAGTGCACTTGGGTGTGGTAACCCCACCTCCACCCCTCTCCAATTTTGAGTCCCCCTGCTCATTGCCACCTGCATGGTCTTTGGGCCAAATTAACGAAAGCGACCAACTTTGTTGCCCTCGCTTTGGGCCAAAAAACAATGGGGTCCTCCTCTTCGGCGGCTGAAACTGTCTCAAGCACATTTCAATTTGCGCTTACCGAAGCGAAACAAAGTTGCCTGCATGCGGACAAATGTCAAAATATTTAGTTGTACAGCCAAACTTTCAACTTTCTCCCTCCAGAAATTGAAAAGAAATATTGGTTAACCCGTGGGACCGAAAGCAAATGCCCCGATTCTGCCAGCATGGCCAAAAAGTTTTCGCGCTGCGAATTATTTTCGAATAAAATGGTGGGTGTGGGTGTGTGTGTGCTGCATTGTGCATTGTTTGCCTGCGAATTTTGGTGAGTGTTGCTATGTTTGCTGGGCCACCGCAGCTGTCAGCTGGCGAGATTGAAAGCGGCGAGGTATTTGCGAATGTTTCCATAAAAGCAGCGGTTTTTATTTGCTTTCCGCAAGGCCCTGGCTAGAAATGGGTTTAATCTGTAATGGGTTTTGAAGTACCTACATATTCCACAACACGACTTATTCAACGGGGCGTATACCCAACTTCTTTAGATCCCTGAACATATGACTTCTATTATTTAACTAATGAAATTGCATTACCTTAAGAAGGTATGGTAAGGTAAGAAGGTTTTCCATAATTTTTTCACTCCTATTATTTTTAAATTATTGTTTTTAAATTATAAATTAAGCATGAGGTTATTATTATATTTCTTCAAAGAAAATGAACTGAAATAATTAAACTAAACATATAATTAAAAAATAAAAATACTTCTCCAAAGTTTCTTATTGCAGCTTATAAAAATAGCAGCCTAAAAGTGTGCTATGTTTTTTTCAATGCTCAACCAGCTGGCAACAGGGCGTATACGTACGAGTTCTTAACCACTTTCGAAGCCTTGAACTTGTGACTTGGAACTATCGTTAACAAATTTATATACTCTAACTAAGTGGTACAACTATTTGAGTCCGTGATTCAGAGCACTCAACATTAAAAAGTAAAATACTTCAAGTGTAGTGGGATAAATGTCCCGCGTTAAGCCAACACAAATGTAACATATGTATGCCTGCACTTTATAATTCCCCCTTTGTGGTTTCTTTTTGAAGGGTGTCTACCCTTCGTCCTTTAGCCAAAGTCAAAGCCTTTCAGCTTTGTGGAAAAAAAGCTGATATCTCTGGGCGTCAAAAGGGAGCTTTGCACGGGCGACACTTGAGAGTGCCGTGAATGTCGTTTTAATAATTTATTTTGTGCGCACAGCGGGCTGCTCATTAACACAGAAACACTCATAGGTGTGTGTGTGTGTGCGTTGGTGTTGGCCCACACACACTTACGCACAGGACACGCACTTGGCAGGATCCTCGACGTCGATTCGGTCGACTGACTGCTGCATATCACCTTAATTACAGGCAGCAGTCTGGGCGCAGTCAGACGGCAAATGGCAGACAAGCTAACAGCGTTTATGGTGGCCCAAATTGCCAGGACCCCGGATCCTTTGCCCCCGAATCTCTGGCATATTGTCGCTGTCGTTACGCTTTAGCGATTCGCCACTGTACCAAACGCACACCACGGCAACGGATTCAGTTTGCACTCGACTGCTGATAAGCGTGCGATTCCTGCAGGGCCAAAAGACAGACACATCCTCATGGCCATGAATACATGCACCGTTGAGTTGCGTTTATATCGGGGCTTATGTTACGTCTAAGTGAAATTTAAGGACTCCACTCAACAACGTACCAAATCCCCAGTATAGTTCGGTTTCGGGCCATGTGTGTGCTAGCGTTTCGCATGATGAGTTTGCCTTCCACGGAAGCAGGAAGCCATCAAGGAGCA